GATGCAGCGTCTCCCAGTGCGCGTCGTCGAACCACGCCGCCTTCATGGAAGGGTCCAGGAAGGTGGCGATCCACAACTCGTTGCTTGACATCAGTTCATACTTCTTCAAGAGACCCAGCGCCGCCTCAATCATCGGCTTCAGCGTAGCCGATGGCCCCTTGGCAAGGCGCGACTCCATAGCGTCGATCAGGCCGTTGTAGTACGGCAGGACCATCGCCACTGTAGGGTACTGTCAGAATCTTAGCTTGGCTAAGGAGCCATAGCTAGTGAGAAGTTCGAGTGAGTTTGAGTTAGGAGAGTCGAGAAAGTTGAAAAGAGAAGAGGAGGGGTTTCACTATAGAGCGAGCAGTACATATAGGCAAGATGAAAGGTGCACCACCAAAACAGAACATTATATAACTACACTAGTCTACACTACAGGCAATTACAAAACAATATATAGATTTATATATTATTCTGACAGGTACGCCGCTCCCTCCGCGGCCTTGGAGACTTTGGCGAATGGGCTGAGGAAGGTCTTGACAGAATGCAGAGTCTCCCAGTCTGCGTCCGTTAGGCGCAAGGTGTCCATCTTCGCCTTGTCAGCCTTCAACACGCCCTGTCGGGTAGAACGTATGGGTGGGCGGGTGTTAGGGTGGAAAGTGGGGTGGTTGAGGTTGTTGGAGGTCCGATAAGTTTAGTCAAGCATGGCCAACAGTGGTGCAAGTCCCAGAAGAAAACACCCCGACTGACATACCAACACATAAAACCGCATACACAACACCTGGCACACACACACATCTGTGTCTGGGCAAAGAAGACAGAGATGGGTTCCTGCAGAACCCCAGCTCGCTCGACCATGTCGTGGGTCGACCCCCAGCGTGTGGGACTGTCCTGCACCAGCTTCAATGCCGGCTTCGGTCTGGCGGGGTTGCCCTGCGCGTTCAGGGTCCGCTGAAGGCCCAAGAACTTCCCTGAGCGCTGCGGCGAGAAGCCTATCCACGACGCCATCTCTCTCAGAATCTTCAACAACTTGCGGATGGTGGTCACAGCGAGTGTTGCCTTCACTGCAAGGTTGATCACGTGTGCCAGGCATCTGCGCACATCACAAAACATTAATGGCGGAGAGAAAGGGAAGTGTGAGTGCACATTGGCATAGATCCGCGAAAGAATACCACTCTCAAGCCGCATAGGCCCACCCGCCTGTACTACAACCTCAACATGTTCACATCACAGGAACGACGCACCCAGACTCCCTCATCGCACATCCCACGCACACTCCCTTTCGTACCGGAAGTGCATGCGCAAGTTGAAGAAGCACTGGCCACCACCCTCCTCCGACATCCACCTGAAAGCGGCAGTGTTGCTGGAGGCGTTGTCTGAGGTGAACCCAAGACAACGCGTCTCCAACCCCCACTGCACCACAGTCTCCTCAACCACCCTCGCCATCTGCTTGCCCGTGTGACGCCCGTGAATCTCGCGGAATTCAAACACCATTGTGCGCAGCTGGTAATTCTCGTCGATCCAGTGACCCGTTACCACTAGCCACGCCCTGTTGTTGGGCAACGTCCACATGTCGATGGTGAACGACACCCTGCACCCCAGATCCCCCTCCTTCGCCAGCATCTCCGCAATGGCTGACTGAAGAGCGGCAGCCGCATAGACCACTGTATCGCGGGAAACTGTCCAGCGCGAGGGGATGAAGTTCTTCTGCGCGCAGTTGCGGTTTAGCAGGATGAGTAGCTCATGAAACTGGAGAGGAGTAGAGACAAGGGGGGAGAGGGGAGTAAACGTCAGGGGGATGGGATGAAAATAATATAGCACTGCACTGGGCCACACGCAAACATTCAAAACACAAAGGGATAGACCCGTCCACTAACCACATAATTGCCCAATCATGCATGGGATGGGATGGGGCACTTACAGCCTCGGCCTCGACGATGCGGAAGGGGAGGTCGCAGGTGACCACCAGCTTCGTGATTGCCTGCCGTAGCTGCACCGAGGTCAGTTTGGTTGTCATCCACCGCTCCATCCCGCCTGACCCATGACCTCCACCAGTCGCCATCCCTTTCCCCTTGGCGAGCTGCGGCCAAGTCTTGGCATGTGGCCACTAATAGACGTAGCCATCCGGCACTCCCTTGTAGCCCCCACGTGGAAACGTCTCCCCTGGCAAGTGAACGGACGGGGTGTGGTAACGGTGATGCCACACATGCATGTGCGCAGTGTGGAAGCTCGCAAAGTGCCGCTCGTCGGGGGTTGTTGTGGATTGCTTCCACGAAATCATGTCTGTGCAAATCTTGCACTGACGCTTATCGTCTGCCCCTAACGGTCCGAACATCATTACTTGCCACCCCGGCTTCCTATTACCCTTGCCAGTCCCCTTACTACTCTCGGACTCTCCGTCCTCGTCTAGGAACTCGGGAGCGATCACACCCTCGCCCAAGGGCTCCCCAGTGAACGTGCATGGATACGCCCGCTCCCTCAACTTGTTGGCCTTCTTCCTCTGCCTCGGCTCCCTAATGGTCACGGCCTTTCTCCCCCCCACCTTAACCCCCACGCTCCCTCCCCCTTCACGCACATGCTGTGATCCCGCCTCTGTCACCGCCCTTCCACCACCCTCTCCCACCTCCTCCTCCCGCCCCTCTGGCTCCAACCCATCCATCTCGTGGTCTTCATCATCATCATCTCCCCCCTCCCCATCGCCATGCGTCTCTGGGTCCCACGCCGCCTCGCTGTCATCCCCGCTCCCCTCAGTGTCCTCCTCCTTCTCGCCCTCACCATCCTCCTCCTCATCCTCCTCCTCGCTGCCGCTCTCCGGCTGCGTCGGCGTCTGCCCCGAAGGAGGGGGTCGAGGGCCGTCGTAACGGAAAGAGCGACGAGAGGTCGGCGCCGGTACGGTAAGCAACCCCCCAACGAAGATCGTGCCGGCTCCTCCGGGTCCATCCCCTACTCGCCCCTGCATAGGTCGTGGTGGAGATCCCGGTGCGCTGCCCTGAGCCCTGCCTGCACCTCGGCCTATGGATCCACCAGCCCTGGAAGCCATAACTCCGCCCTCGACCCTAAACCCTAAAACACCCTTCCTGCAACGGTAGCGTTGGATGGTGCCGCACGTTCCTAATGCCCGATCCGAATCCTACGGCGTAGGATACGCCCTACTTGAGCCCTTTGCGGAGATGCTCGCTGAACCTTAATAGTAACCCTAAACTCCCTACACTACGTTAAACCCTATGCATAGATCTATCTATCTAATGTTCGTTTACACTGCAAGTATCAGCGTGCACTTGCTTGCACCTAGAACAAGGAGGCTAGGGCGGCTGTGTAAGGGAGCGCTAAGGCGAAAACGACTTCTGAGTTTGAGCTCACGAAATGAGCTCAAACACAAATTGGCCGCGACCTAAATCTGGTCGCGGCCAATTTTGACGCGAACATTTTTGGTGTTCGCGTGGCCCTCAAGTCGAACACGAACATGTTCGTGTTCGGCTTGGAGAGCCAAAATTCGGAGGCGAACGTCGAACATGTTCGGCCGAACACCGAACATGTTCGGCCCGAACAATTTAGGCAAAAAAAAAAATGCCTGTTCGGTTCGCCTCGAACATGTTCGAGGCGAACCGAACATGCGTTTGGGATTTTGCTCATCCCTAGCTCCATCTTTGATGCCTGATTTTACAAGTAAAATCAGGGTTCGGCAATGTGGAGTGTTTTGCTTCAAAGTAGATCCAATGATAGATCGCAATTCACTCAAGAGGAAGACACTGCCGGGGCGTTCGCTGCTTATCTGTCCACAAAGTTCCTTCCGAGCGGGTCTTAGTTTTAAACCCACCAGGACGCGCGAGCTGGCGGAAGCTGTCTGCGCGGGGCAAAAAAACTATTCCCCATCGCGACCGACTGGCATGCCGTTCAGGAGCCTCAACCCTAAGGGCGTGTGTTTTTTGGATTTAATTGCGCAGTTCATGTTTTCTAGTCGATTTTTTACGTTTGGAACCTAGGTCGACCTGTACTCGAGTATCTCAACTTTTGGGTCCCGAGTCGTGATTTTTCTCTCCCAAAAATCACATGGCACATCAAAGTTCGACTTCAGAAGTTGGACTTTATACAGTAAAATCCGAGTCGCGCCCCAATTTCGTAGGTTACCTGATTTGAAGACGTAGCTCGTGAACGAATCTGGATTCAGTAACGAGGTAGCGTGTCTTTCGTTACCATCGCAAAATTCGCAGATTCACTGCGCATGAGAAGAACACACGTTTGGCTAAACGGGCACGTGAAAATTCGACCCCAGTTCATTGTCCCTCTGTTTCATCAATCTTTGAACCTGGACACACGAATATCGCAAACAGCAATAAACGAAGTTCACGAAGCAGGTTACCATTAAAGGGTCGACCTCTTTCTTGAACCCTTACACCAAAAGACACGTGCCCTAACATTTTAGGGTTGATGCCTCCCGAACCGCATGCCTTCCGAGCGGGTCTTAGTTATTTTCTTGCCCGCGGGCAGCTCGATTCCGCGAGCACGCGGAAGCAATCCCGCAATCGCCCGTGCTTTACTGTTTGGGCGCGTGCGTATGAACCTTTGAGAAATTCGAATGCATAAGCAAGGTTGTCAAAAATTTGGACCCGTTACAGGTTCTCTTTTCTAGGCTACAAGTTCTCATTTAAAAATAACAAACTGGCAATGAAAAGAACGAGTGCACATATTGACGAAAAAAAAAACCTCCGAATCTCATGCACAAGATGTATTTTGCCATGCCCATATACCGTAACACTAACCTGTTTCATTTCTCGCTGTTTCACAACGACCGCTACGGGGTGACACTTGTATCCAGAGAGGGATGGCGTGCGGGGAGGCTTGGTGGTCAGTGGATTGGTGATGCATGTGCAGGCAGGTGGTGGCCTCAGATTCGTCGCGGTTGGTGCAGTCCCATCTCCGCTACCACTGCATGCAGCAGTGAGGGTTTGGTGGTTGGCGGGTTGGTGGTGCAGGTGCAGGCCGGCAGGTGGTGTGGCATGGCATGGGATGGCGTCAGATCAGATTCGCTGCGCAGGGTGCAGCCCCATCTCCGCCCCCACTGCATGCAGCAGTGAGCGCAGCGCCCCTGCCAGCTCCGGGTCCCTGCTGGGTGGGGGGAGGGCAGCGCAGGGCACATGTGATGATGGATTGAAGGGGAGGTGATGGGATGAAAGGGAGGTGGTGGGATGAAGACGGGGTGATGGGTTGAAGGGGAGGTGCTGCAGGGCACAGGTGGTGCAGGGAGCATGTGCTGGTATTGGTTCAGTCATCAGAGGGAGATGATCAAACTGGAATGGAATAAGTCTGGCAGGTAGAGGGTACTCCGTGGCAAGACTGCACAGGGGTGGGATGAAAACAGAGAAGCACAACGTTCGAATTTGCACACCCACAAGCTCCACCAATGGCATGCTGCCACGTGGCCATGCAGCAAGCATCACCTGGCAAGAATGAGGTCGCATGCGAAGGGGTAGATGGCGAACAGGTGGGCCTTGCGCCATCCCATGCTCCCGCCTTGCCCGTCCGGCAGCACCCGCCACTCACACTCACCCTCACTCCCCCTCCCACCATCCGCTCCCTTACTGCACTCCTCCCCACCCTCTTCCCCGCCCACCCTGCCAGCAGCACTAGCTGCTGCATTGATGCTGCTGTCAGAAATAAAGGGCAGATCTGCATCAGCGGGGGCCGATGCAGGAGTGGAAGAGGTAGGGGTGGAGGCGGGCTTGCTGCGTGGTGCAGTGTGGGCAGCAATGCTGTGAGCGAGGGAGGGCACTGGTGCTGCTGGGAGGGAGAGTGCAGTGAAGCCGTGAGCAGGAGGAGGGGTGCAGCGGAGCATGGCGGGGAGGAGGGACGAGAGGGGCGCGGCGACAGCGGGGTGTAGCGAGATGGCTGTGAGACCTGCCAGGATGACCCTCACCTCCCTCCTGCGCGCTGCTGCCATGCTGCCCGCCCCTGTGATGAGAGGGCAAAGGGGAGGACAGGAGCAGGGTCAGGTGGAGGGGACAGACAGGGGGAGAGGACCAGTGGATTGGACTGACGGAGGGATCAGGTGGATTTCACGGGGGGGGGGGGGGGAGAGGGGACAGGAGGAGGGGGCAGTTGGAAGAGACAAGCAGAAAAAAAAACTCCAGGCAGTCCTCTGCACTCACCGCGCACCAGGCAGTCCTCTGCACTCACCGCGCACCAGGCAGTCCTCGGTGAAGCGCTGCAGGCGGCGGCGGGCAAAGGCGAGGAGGCGGGGCATGGCGATGCACGCCACCTGCACCGCGGAGCTGCTCACTGGGTCGTTGGGTCTGGGCTGCCTGCACGGTGGCAGGCACGAGAGGACGTGAGAGGGCGCAAACGAATGTGAGTGGGCGTGAGGGAGGGTGAGAGGAGCTGCCGCCTGGGTCGCTAGCCCTGGGCTGCCTGCATGGTGGTGGGGCACAACCGATTGTCCAATCCAAGCAACAAGCAATATTTTCATTTATAATCTGCTGGTCAGGTCGCTGAGGCTGGGCTGCTTGACGGGTGGTGGACGTGAGAGGGCATGAAAAGTGAGTGGCTGTGGCAGCACAATTTGCTACTTGTGCACTGCACTCTAAGCCCTTGCTAGTGCAGCACAAAACTACTTGTCCCCCTCCTTGCTGCCCATACTGCTACTGCTGCTGCTGATGATGCCGCTATCATGGCTAAACACGGAAGAATGTGCCCCGCAGTTGCAGGAATGGCAATTTATTCACGCTGCTGGTGCGATCAGCTCACCCTGCAAGAGCGGAGGGTAAGCCACTCACCCGCAGATCTGGGGCAGCAGGTGGATGGCAGTGAAGCACACAGGGTGCAACGTCTCCCTCCACATGCCGCAGCCCCCCTCACCACTGCCACCACCACTGCCGCCATTGTCACCCACGCTGCCGCTGCCCACCCCAACCAGCGAATGATCCACTATGCCCCCATCGCTGCCTCTGCTTCCACTCCCCACAGCAACAGCACTGCTGCTTCTCGTCCTGCTCACCACCACATGCCCCCCACTGCCACTGCCACCGTTGCCACTCAAGCCGTCGCTTCCCCCTCTTCCCACACTGCCTGTCGCCTTCACCTGCCCCCCTGCCCCTGCCCCACCAGCAGCACCCCACCCCAGCCAGCTACCCACGCGCGCAAGCCCACTCAGAGGCGCAGCTGCCTTCCCCTCGCCCTTAGGCCCCTGCCCTCCTGAACCAGCACCTGAGCCTGACCATGAACCTGAGCCTGGGGCTGCAGCAGAGGCAGAGGCGGAGGCAGGGGTTGGGCCGGAGGCAGTGCGGAGAGGCGAGACAGAGACTGCAGGGGTGGAGAAGGAGCGGGAGCGGTCCGGTGCGGCACGGTGGGATGCAGTGCTGGTGGCAGGGGAGAGGATTCTTGTACTGCTACCAGTTGCTGCCAGACTGCCGTTGCTTGCTGGTGCAGCCGCGGCTGCTTTGCTGGGCGCTTTTCCTGATGAGAGAGGGGAACGAGAGGGAGAGGGGGTGACAAACTGATTGAATGGACACATGTAAAAGAGGGGAGTGGAATAGAGGAGTTAGCACCAACAGAGGTGACAGTGAAGCATCACAGATTGTAACGAGAGAGGTCGTGCAAGCCGCCAAACGCACCTTGCTCGGAGCCACTGTGCCCTGAGCTCCCACGGCCACGGCCACCCCCTGTGAGCTGCACCTCCCCCACGGCCCTCTCTGCCAGGTCCAGCAGCAGCCCCACCAGGCGCTGCTTCACCTGGTGTGGAGCGGAGGGGGCATGAGGGGGAGCGATGCACACGAAACTGTCACTGTGCTGGGTGCGGGCGGAATGAATGGTGGAGTCAACGTTCGAGGGGCATTGATGAGTGGCTGTCAGTCACCGCACGCACCGCTTCCCGGAAGATCCCTACCTCATCCGGGAAGGGCAGCGGGGCGGCTATAGCAGCAAAGGCGGGTGCACGTACACGTGAGTAGTGCAAACCGTGTGAGTCTGTGTGGGCCATATTCCTGTCCCGGCCCCCGCTCGCTCACCTCCAGTGGCGCGTCTTGGCAGTATCTGAGCACTTTCTCTCCCAGCAACCGCACCATCCGCTCCTGTAGCACCTCGTCCTCATGCACCTGAGCCGGCGGCAGATTTTGGACGGACCCAGAGTGCCACTCCCCCGTGCCCATGCCCCTGACGACCCCCTCCCCTGCGCACATGCCGCGCACCACGCCCTCGTACAGCGCCACCAGCTCCTTCCAGAACCGCTGCCGCACTGCCGCCTCCCACGTGGCCGTGGCGCCCGACAGTGCCACGCTCTGCTGGTGCTGCTGCTGCTGCTGCTGCTGCTGCTGCTGCTGCTGCTGCTGCTGCTGCTGCCCCTCCTGCTGGTGTGTGCACTGACCTTGTGTCTCTTCCACCGCTGCATCACTATCGCTCCTCGAACCTGCCTCCGCCTCTCCATACGGCCCTGCCTCGGCCGTTCCATGCTGCTCCCTGCCCTCCTTCCCCTTCTCCCCGCCCCCCCTGCTCTCTGCTGCCGCCGTTCCAGCGATGGGGGCAGATGGGGCTTGTTGGGATCCAGCAGGCGAGGCGGATAGGGCGGATGGGGCGGAGGGGGCGGAGGGGGCGGAGGGGGCGGGGGAAGAGGGGAGGGGGAGGAGGTGCGGGGGGCAGTCGAGCAGCAGCGCGTGGTCGAGGACGTCGGCGAACTGCAGCACGGACGTGCGCCACAGCGGCGAGTTGGGCTGCTCCTGCCGCACCGCCAGGCACCTGTGAAAAGGGGGGGGAGGGGGAGGGCGGGGGGGGGTTTGAGGGGTGACGGGTGAGGGATGAACAATGGAGGTTGGTCAAAGGAGGAGGAGGGTGGGGAGGGGGAGGGAAGGGGAGGGGGACAAGTGAAGGAAGATGGGGCGACGAGGTGGAGCATGCCGGCGAAGCGAACTGCAGCACGGAGGTGAGTTGGGTGTCCCTCGTGTGCAGAAGCAGCACGGACGTGCGCCACAGGGGCGAGTTTGGCTGCTCCCGCCGCACCGCTAGGCACCTGGACGGGGGAAGTTTGAGGGGTGAGGGGTGAACGAGCTAGGCGCGAGGTGGGGTTGAACGGTGAGGGATGAACGAATGGGGGGTGATCGAAGGGGGAGGTGGGCCAGAAGGGGGGAGAGGGACGGGGAGGGGGAGGGAGAGGGGGAAGTGGGGAGGGGGGAAAACGAAGGGAGACGGGCCGGCGTGGTCGCGATGTCGTTCTCGCCTTAACCTTACGGCACGGGGAACCTCATCTCTCCCTCTCGCCTCTCCCGCCTCTCCCGCCGCCCGTCCCAACCGATGGCGCTCTCGCCTTCACCCCACGGCAGGAAGAACCTTCTTTCCTCCTCTCATCTCTCACCTCCCGCCTCTCGCCTCTCCCGCCCGACCGCCGGCCCGAACCATCCCACTTTTTTATTTTCGCGACCCTCCCCCTCTCCAGTAATCCCACTCCTTTTTTTCGCGACGCTACATTTTCGTCTAGGACATGTTTAGACCACAGGCTTAAGATTAACGGTAACACCTGGTTTCGCGCACCTGCCGAGCCACGCAATCAGGTCTGGAATAGCTTCGGGTGACACCTTGCGATAACCCGAAGCTAGCTCCGCCATGCCGGCCCTCGGCCGAAGCAGGTGCGTTCGGGTCAATCCGTGCAGGCAACCCGCTAAGCTATGAGAAGCGTTGTGGGCCCCACGTGCCACGTGGCAGGTACGTGCGCCCTATAATCAACCTACGTGCCTTTCACAAGCAGATCGAGAGGCATTCGCCGACACCAGATCGTGCGCGGCGATGGGGAGATACGCTCTTCACTACCGAAATAGTGGGCGATGCTTCTCTCCCTCGTGGCTGTCCTGTTCATAATATCTTTCGTTGTAGCTGTAGAGTATCCTGGCTGTGTAATTGTGTAGCAATCTTAAGAAAGCTTCATTACATGGAGGATACAGATCCCACGAAGGTATTACCGTATCTGGTATGAAAATATATAAATTATGGTGCCACCAATTGAACTTCGATGGTTCAATTCGTAAGTTTCGCAAGATCCTAGTTGTAACTTGGGAGTTTCAAGACGGGGGAACAGCAAGAAAAAGCGCATGATTCAGGCCAAGCTGTCTACTTCCAAAAAAACAGCCGCATCTTGCCTAGTGTGCGGGACCTGCCATCTAGTATGGCAGAAACAGCGTTGTCGCGGCAGCTGCGGCCGATTTGAATTGATCAACAGAATCCTGCTATGTACCGTAATGGTTCCTTGCGTTACCACACCATTCTACACTTGAGCTTGCTTCTCTCCTTTGGACATTTCTTCCATCTCAAGAGCATCATAGGTTGCCGTTCCCTTGCCATCAGGCCTGCCATGAGCACGGCCATCAGCAACACCTGCACGAGCCGCCGCATCGGAGTCAGAGGTGCTGCCAGGCACTCAATTGCTGCATTGCCCGCTGCCTGCGCTGGCTGCCCTGGGCGCGAGGGGAGGCGAGGCGAGTCGCAGGTGGGCGTGGCCACGAGGACTGACGCTGGTGGGCAGCTGCACATGTGAGGATACGTTGAAGTCCCGGGTGCCGCAGACGAGTAGAGCGAGGCGGGGTGGTGCAGCAGCTAAAGTTTCTCCGAGGGGCATGTCCGGGTAGTCAAGGAGAAGCTCATCAGTGAGCGCGTGCACCCGGTGGCCTTCAGACGACTTTTGAGTCGACTCAAAAGGCAGCTAAAGTTGGTCCGAGGGCGTGGCCGGGTGGTCAGGGAGGAGCTCGTCAGTGAGCGCGTGCACCCGATGGCCTTCAGACTCACGTGCCTTGTTGCGCGACACCCTGCCACACAGGCACACACACACGCGCACGCACGCACGCACGCACGCATGCACGCACGCACGCACGCACGCATGCACGCACGCACGCACGCACGCACGCATGCACGCACGCACGCACGCACGCACGCACGCACGCACGCACGCACGCATGCACGCACGCACGCACGCACGTGCGCGTGCACGCGCGCGCGCACACACACACGTACGCACGGCGCGCGCGCGCGCACACACACACATGCACACACGCGCGCGCACACACACACACACACTCACACACACGCACACACACGCACACACACACACGCGCGCACACACGCACACGCACACACGCACACACGCACACACAGACACACACACACGCACACACAGCCACGCACACACGCACACACAGCCACGCACACACGCACACACAGACACGCACACACGCACACACAGACATAGCGCTTTGTACCACCACAGCTGCCGCCACAGCGCCTGGCATATGCAAAAGTGCTGGTGGACACCCAGATATGCACGCAGCGAGACTTCCGTTCTGAAGAGGTGGCGGCAGGCAAGCAATGTTTATCGCATGTGCCTTGCTGCACTGTGCCTTGCTGCACTGTGCCTTGCTGCACTGTGCCTTGCTGCACTGTGCCTTGCTGCACTGTGCCTTGCTGCACTGTGCCTGTGCCTTGCTGCACTGTGACTTGCTGCACTGTTCCTTGCTGCGCCGTGCCTTGCTGCTTCATGCATTGGCGTGCGGTGGGGCAGGAGGCGCATGGCGCTCACTTGTAGGCAATGTAGAGGGAGACGCCAAGAATGATGATGACGATGCCCAGCACTTTGACACGCGTGAAGCGGTCGCCAAACACCATGTGCGACACCTGAGGGCGCACACATTAACGAAGGGGGCGACGCATGCACATAGGTGTTATGAGTCGACTTAAATCACACTTTGACGAGCGTGAAGCGGTCGCCAAACACCATGTGCGACACCTGAGGGCGCACAACATAAGGAAGGGGGAGAGGGTGGGGTGACGCATGCACAGAGAAACAGGTGTGGTCGCACAGATGAGTGGGTCAGCATCAGGGTGGCAGGAGCATATGGAGGAGAGAGCAACGAGCTGCAAATACATAGGCAGAAATGAAAGGATGAAGAGTCTTTTTGTTGCAGTTTCCCACCACAACATGCTTGGATACATGTGCAAGTGCGAACAACTATGTTGTTACGCACCCATCGATGCACAATATGTGCCCCATCTATGCACAATATGTGCCCCATCTATGCACAATATGTGCCCCATCTGAGCACCATCTGGAGCATTCCCTAAAGCACTCATGCGTTGCATGCCTCTCCTTCCTTTCTTCTCCCATTCTCACCGTCACCATTCCTCTTCCCCTTCCCATCCCCCAGTGTGGCTCACCAGGATGGTGACGACCTCCTTGGCGGTGCCGGCCACAGAGAAGGTGACAGCGCTGGTCTCTTTCACCAGCAGCACTCCGCCATGATCTGCCGTTTCAGGGTGAAGGGTGTGCCCAGCAATGCCCCAGTGCCCAGTGAACAGGGTGGGCGTGGTCTTGAGACGTCTCAAAACTAGAAGGTGACGGCGCTGGTCTCTTTCACCAGCACGAACACCGCCATGATCTGCCACACGACAAGGGTGGGGAAGGGCTGGTGGGAGTGGCGCACCAGAAGGAACACCGCCATGATCTCCCGCCCCCAGTGTTTAGTGTCCCGTGCCCAGGGGCCGGGGTGGGCGAGGGGGCAGGGAGGGGAAGGGCTGGTGGGTGTGGGGGCGGCGGGGCGGGTGACAAGGGTGGTGCTATATGTACAGACGCACGCACGCACGCACGCATGCACAAGCACGCATGCACAGACACACGCACGCGTGCTCACATACGCGAGCGCGCGCGCGCGCACACATACACACACGCAGAAACACGCATGCACAGACAAACGCGCACGCACGCACAGACACACGCGCGCGCACGCACGCACGCCCGCCCGCCCGCCCGCCCGCCCGCACGCACGCACGCACGCACGCACGCACGCACGCACGCACGCACGCACGCATGCACGCACGCACGCACGCACGCACGCATGCACGCACGCACGCACGCACGCACGCACGCACGCACACACACAGACACACACAGACACACACACACACACAGACACACACACACACACACAGACACACACACACACAGACACACAGACACACACACACAGACACAGACACACACAGACACACACACACACACAGACACACAAACACACAGACACACACACACACACACACACACACACACACACACACACACACACACACACACACACACACACACACACACACACCATGCAGAAGGCGAGGACGCCCCCCAGAGGCAAGACGGCGAGGGTCCAGAGGGCGTGAGGCCACGTGTCAAAGTAGGGTGAGGAGGCGAGCGAGGACAAGGGCTCATGCAGCAGCGAGAAGATGCCGCACACGGGCGCCATCACGGGCGCCATCACGGGCGCCATCACGGGCGCCAGATACTCTAGCGTGAGCAGCGGGTTGGTGAGACCTGGTGGGGGGAGGGGGAGGGGGAGGGGGGGGGGGGGCGTGAGATGCAGTTGGTGGGAGGCGAGGGGGACTAGGAGGAGTGGGAAGGCGATAGTGGCATGAGCATGGCGTGATCATAGCAAATAGGGGAGGAAGGGTGAGATACAGGAGGATTGTGGCGTGTGGCAGGAGCAAGGACAGCACACAGGCACAGTGAGTGGGGCTGCACAGCGCACACGCACTGTGTGGCTGCACCCGGCAATATGAGGTGAGTGAGGAGGAGGAAGGGGCAAGGCGACAGATGCTTACCAAGTGTGTCCCCCTGTCACCAGTGGAAGCGGCGACGGGGGTGGTGAGATGGTGAGTTGATGTTCCATGGAAAAATAGACACATGTTGTGAAAGTAAGGGGTAAACAGGAGACGGAAAGGGTGAGTTAGTCAGTTGATGCAGCAGGACACACAGCAGCACACACAGCAGCACAGCAGTACACAGCACACACAGCAGTACACAGCAGCAGGGACCAGCAGCAGGGAGCAGCGGCGGCTTACCTGCAGGAGCACTTGCAGCAGCACCCATCGGAGGCCCGCCATGAAGGAGGCCAGCATGGCGAGGATGAATCCCACCAGCTCAAACTCCGTCTCCCCCGCCACTGGGAGCGAGCACCACACGCACGCCACTCGTGGGCACAGCACACACCACACACCACACGGCACAGCACAGGGAAGGTCGAAAGCGCGGATCACGCGTTGCAATCAAGGTGGAAAAAAACGATTGTGGAAAAAGGTAAGGGAATGGGCGCGGCGTTGTGATGCCCATTAGGGGGTGGAGCGCACGGGAAATGGAAGTGATACAAGAGGAGAATTGAGGATCGGTAGAAAAAAATGTCGGATGATCATCGCATTTCCCTCCCTCCCAGCCCCCTCGCCTTCCATTCCCCCTCGTCCCCCCTCCTCCCCACTCCCTCCCCCACCTATGCAGAGCACGCCGACAGAGATGATGACTATGATGCCCAGCAGCTTGCAGCTTGGCGTCTCCAGCCTTTCAGCTTTTGAGGCGCCTCATGAAGCGGCTTTTGAGACGCCTCAAACTCCCCCCCTCCCGTCGCCCCTCGCTCGTCCTCCCCCCCCCCCCCACCTATGCAGAGCACGCCGACAGAGATGATGAGTATGATGCCCAGCAGCTTGAAGCTTGGCGTCTCCAGCCTTTCAGCGGGCACGGGGGGGTGGAGGCGTGGGGGAGAGTAGGAGGGGAAGGGGGGAAGAGGTGGGCTAGTGATGAAAATGAGGGGAGTAAAATCATTACTGAAAATTGTTACAGGCAACGGTGATGACGGCCGCAGCCGGGAGAACTGAACTGCTGGTGGTAAGGAGGGTGGCGAAGAGAAATGCGTCAACTGTGTGGGCACAGCAGTAGTTAGCACTCATGTATGGTGGATGGCCTGGCAGTCACGGTGAGGATGGCATGGCAGTCATGGTGAGGATCTAAGTTGGTCATTTACGTTTACGTTTACGTACGTACGTGTACGGGTACGCACGTTTACGCGGCTGTTGGGTTGGAGGCCTAATGTACGGGCAGGTTAAAAGTTTTCTGGGCTGCCCGAATATGTATATTTTTTCTGTATTACTCCCTCGTGATCATGATTTCCGTCATATAGTGTAAACATTCCATTACAACCTCGTAATTTCCCAAATAATTAAATAACCACCATGCATGCACGAGTCGTGCAGAATATCATATCATCCTCACTCCATAGGCTCTTCCGCTTCCTGGCCATCAAGATATGCCTCATCGAGGATGTCGTCGTCATCGAGATGCCCGTAGCTGACAGTAGGTTCCTCCTTAACTTGCACCACAGGAAGCCCACTCACCACCGGCTTCTTAGCAAGATCTTCATTCAACTTCTTCACTGTGTGATAGTTGTGGCTCACGTATACCAGGTCGGCAAGGCGTTTCGCTCCAAGGCGATTACGACGAGCTGTATGGATTGACTCCCAAACGGCCCAGTTCGTCTCGCACGGGGAGGCCGAGACGCATTGCTTGAGAACTCTTTTTGCAAGCTTGGAGAGGTGTGGCACGTCCGTGCCATTGAATTCCCACCATTGCGCCGAATCCAAAAGCCCAACTTTGATGAGTTCATGCTCATCACGCGCTTTCTGCTCCCCAATGTCTCCCTTCCCCTTGATGTACGTCAAGACCTCTTTTTCGACGATGGTTGCGAGTGGCGCCGTCACCCCTCCCACTTTCACGAATTCACCCTGGTAGTAATTGCGAATGAATTGCTTGAAGATCTTGGTGCACTCCACGTCCGTTCCGAATGTTGACTCGTATTGGTTTGGCGGGTACAGAATCCGTCCGACCACGTGAAGCGCGCAGCTGATGTCGTTGTTCCACCGATTCCGCAGGATGTCGGTCACATCCTCTTTCTCCTCCTCGGTCAGCTCCTTACACGCCTCCTTCACCGCGTCCTCCAAAACAAACATTTTGTCATATATCTTGCCCATCACCTCCTGATTGCCGTCAACATTCCGCAACAGCTTGTAGACCGGACGAAGCACATCCAGCACCGTCCCAACGCGCGTCCAGAACTCCTTGTCGATAATAGTATCCCATGCGTCCTTCATTTTCGGCTTCCCCTTGACGTACTCCTCCCAGTCCTCACTCGACACCAGCTTATCGAGAGTTTTGCGCACTGCCTGTAGGCGTTCGAGGGCGATGTAGTTTGTTCCAAAACGGGTGCCCGCAGGTTTTAGGATTTGTAGCGCCTTCTCCTTCCGAAGAACCCCCGTAATCCAGTGCGCGTTCTTCAGCGTCGTAATAAGCTGTTGCGCGCGGTCGATGGTATCCTTGGCCCAATCGAGTTGGCCAATGTCCTTCATCATTAGATTGAGAGAATGCGCACCGCAACGAATCCACTGAACTTTTGGGTACTCGCGGGCGATGATGCTGGCAGCATTGACATTCGCGGACACACCGTCCATCAGCAGGCCGACAACGTTCTCCGTTCCTACCATGACCATTGCCGTCTTCAAGTGGCCAGCAATGAATTCTGCTCCCTTCTTCTCCGTGCCGCAATCCACCCCAAAAAGAAAAACGGATGCAATCGTATTAACAACTAAGAAGTTCAGCTGCGGACGTCCTTCGCTGTCGGTCCAACAGTCACACGCGATGCATACCCCGACATCCTTCCATGAATCCTTCACCTCCTTCAACGCAGCGTCGGTGTTCGCTTTGCACTCCTCCAACAATTTTCCCATTATGAGCCATCGTCCTGGAGGTGTAAATCCTGTACCAGCAGCAGCAACCTTTTTCAGCATCGTCTTGAAAGCATCGTGCTCCGCAACATTCGGCGCGATACGACACACGTGGAAAAACGTTGCGATGGCTAGTTGCTCACTCGCCGCGTCGACGGGTTTGGGGCGAGTATCCATAAGAGTACGCTGCGTTGCCTGTCTCTTGCGCGCCATTGTGCTACTTTCCGCTAAGTTGGAGCCACTCGCCGCCATGCCCGTCGACTTGGTGTTCGTAGTAGACGATGGCGAGAATGCATCGGACATTTTCTGTTGAGCTTTCTCGCGAGAATCAGATCCCCTCTTCTTATCATCCATCGCAGATCGAATTTTTTCCTTATCCTCAGGTGTAGCTGAGGCGCATGGCGTGATTCCGCTCCCGGGAATTCCGAGAATGTGGGCCTGAGCCCGCGCCACATTCCGTTTCCACGACTTCCCACATCGCTTGCATTTCTTAGCTAGCGTAGATGTGAAAGTTAGAAGAGAGAAGAGGGCTGCACTAGCAAGAATGAGGATACAAATAGCAAACCTTAGAAGGGTTGTACTCGCTATAGGGCACCCCACTACAGGCTAGAGCATAAGATAACATTCTGACACACCCCCATAGCCAAAGTGGGGTGTAATCAGCAGAGCACGCAAAGTAGTACAAGCTCAGGGTGGATCACAATGTCACCACACATTCTGAGCACAAGTTCAAGAAGCAATAGTTTAAAGTTCACAATTATGAGCAAAGCTAGTGGTAGTCACAGCGGGCAAGTGAAGAGGAGGAGAGAGAGTGAGAGGAGAGGAGATAGGAGGCGACGGATGAAGCTGCAGACACACGGGCAACAGGAGGCACACTGGCACAGCGGCTACCGGAACTACGCTCCGGAATACTAGAGTAACTGGCCCCGCGGCTTAAGTAGCGGCAGACGAGCAACGGACCCACGGGCGGCTGGCACAGCTGGCTACGACTGGGCTACCGGAGCAACTCCCCGGACTACAGGTGCTGCTGGCGACACGACGGCAACCTCCATTCAGCTTCCCCCAAACTATCCCACTCCCCCTGGCACACACCCGCTGCTACACCGCTAGCTCCACCCCCCCTTCACCCCCCCTTAGTACCACTCCACCGGCTCCAACACGTCCACCCCCCCTCAGCGGCAGCTGCAGCACAAGGAGACAGAGGAGGAGGAGGAGGAGCAGGGAACGGTACAAAGTGAAGTCACCCCCATACCCCTCACCCCCAAACCCTAATTCAGGAGAATGGGGAGTAGGAGGGGTGGGGCGCCAGTAGAAGCACTGGGGGACAGCGGAGAGGGCAGGGGCAGCGAGGAACGGGCCCACCACGGGCGTGGTACAGACGCCCGAGCCGCGCGCAGGCGGCCTGAGCCGCGCGCGGGCCTGGCGCCGTCCGTACGGGCCGCGCGCGGGCCTGGCGCTGCCCGTACGGGTCGCGCGCGGGCCTGGCGCAGCCCGTACGGGCCGCGCACGGGCCTGATGCAGCCCGTACGGGCCGCGCGCGGGCCTGGCGCAGCCCGTACGGGCCGCGCGCTGCCTATACGGGCCGCGCGCAGGCCACGACGGGCGACGGGGGGCGATGCGCGGGTCCCCGTCGTCCGTCGCGGCGCCTCCAGAGGGCGACGCGCCAAACGACGGGGTAGAAGCCCGCCGCGCGCCTCGGGGCGCACAGTGGGCAGAGAACCGCCGCGCGCCTCGGGGCGCACGGCGAGCAGAAAACCGCCGCGCGCCTCGGGGCGCACGGCGGGAAGAAAAACTGCCGCACGCCACGGGGCGTGCGGCTCAGAGAGTATTGGTAGTAGTTGCAGCGGAAGCAAGGAGGTGGTAAGCCCACCCACAAGATCGATCCAAGGGGATCGACCTGCTCTGATAGCATGTGGAAGTTTAGACGAGAGAAGAGGGCTGCACTAGCAAGAATGAGGATACAAATAGCAAACCCTAGAAGGGTTGTACTCGCTATAGGGCACCCCACTACAGGCTAGAGCATAAGATAACATTCTGACAGTAGAATCAGATGTTCCGCCCTCAGGAACAATGAAGCATCGCCACACGGGATGCTCGGAAGCGGTCTGCGTAGGAGACTCCATAGTACTAGTATAATCTGTTGGAGTGTGTTGGTTAAGTAGATAGAGTAGATAGACGAATTGACTCGGCGAATTTGTTTGACTCGATGTTGGGATTCGCCGAAACCAGTGAAGCTCGGCGGTGACGAAATTGCTGAGCGAGAGACAGTCGCTTACTTTGCAAGCGAAGCAAGTGCGAGTAAAAATGTTCACAATGTTCTATCGCGAACATTTTGACTCGCATTCAGATCTACTCCCACCTCCTTCCTCACTCTCTCGTCAAACTTACCTATCGTAGTACCCTAAGCCGTAGCAACATAGTCGACGTAGTACGCAGGGTAGTCGCCACACCATAGCCACCCTAACTAGCAACCTTCTTATTTCTTACACTACTACTAAGAGAATCGCCGCGCCGCTTTACTACCACGCTAACAAAGCACAGGTCGTCGAAAGCGTTTTTCCTTTTTTAGTTTTTTTTTTTCGGAAACCGTTTTCAAAGAAATTCCTAGCGGATTTTTTTTCTGACCTGCCCGGCGTACGTACACGTACGTACACGTAAACGTTAACGTATGCGTACGTTACGTGTACGTGGCCTCAAGTGGCGTAAATGACCAACTTAGGTGAGAATAGCATGGCAGTCACGGTGAGGATGGCATGGCAGTCACGGTGAGGATGGCATGGCAGTCACGGTGAGGATGGCATGGCAGTCACGGTGCGGATGGCATGGCAGTCACGGTGAGGATGGCATGGCAGTCACGGTGAGGATGGCATGGCAGTCACGGTGAGGATGGCATGGCAGTCACGGTGAGGATGGCATGGCAGTCACGGTGCGGATGGCATGGCAGTCACGGTGAGGATGGCATGGCAGTCACGGTGAGGATGGCATGGCAGTCACGGTGAGGATGGCATGGCAGTCACGGTGAGGATGGCATGGCAGTCACGGTGAGGATGGCATGGCAGTCACGGTGAGGATGGCATGGCAGTCACGGTGAGGATGGCATGGCAGTCACGGTGAGGATGGCATGGCAGTCATGGTGAGGATGGCATGGCAGTCACGGTGAGGATGGCATGGCAGTCACGGTGAGGATGGCATGGCAGTCACGGTGAGGATGGCATGGCAGTCACGGTGAGGATGGCATGGCAGTCACGGTGAGGATGGCATGGCAGTCACGGTGAGGATGGCATGGCAATCACGGTGAGGATGGCATGGCAGTCACGGTGAGGATTGTTGTGTGATGCAACCATGTGCATTCACGTCTGTCTGCCACCCATCATGTGTTTGTGCGTTGCATGCGTGGTGTGAGCGTGTGCAAGAAATTTGTGTCTTGTGTGGTTTGGATTTTCTGTGTGTGTATGTGTGTGTGTGTGTGTGTATGTTATTTGGCTTGAGCAGATATATGAAGTGATTCCTCTACTCAAGAGCTTTCCGACGAACCAAGAATCGTCGCGATCGGAGCACAACCAAGAAAGTTACGAACATTGGAGTTCGTATGCTTATATATTTTGGTTGCAGCTACTTTGGAAAGTTGTGGCATTGACTCAATATGGGGTACAGACTTGTGGGGGTTGGGAAATTCGAACCCATCACTGTAGATGCTGCCAAATGGTTGGGAGAAACCAAACCAGGTTGGCAAGTGTGGCCAAGTTGGGTTGAGGTGGATAGTGGAGGTTGGGATAGTGACAAAGGTCAAAGTTGGGTTGCCTATGGGGAAGGGAATTGTGTGGCATGGGGTTTCCTTGGTTGGGGACTCTCTTGGGACCTTCCCTCTCATCCTCCTCATCCCTTCCACCTGGTTTAGTGCTACTCTAATTCTCTTGTGTGAACTTGTGTGAACTTTGTGATTGAGTTAAGTTCTTATGGCAGCATACCCCCCTGTGCGCCGAAATTGATAAGTCAAGATTTATTTCACCTTTCTATACGATTCAATTTGGGAATTGTAGCCACGGACTAGAGCTACAACATATGTGAAATTAGTGAAGTTTCAACAGTGGGTTTTCGTCGACGGCGTTTCTTGTGAACTCGAAAATTCTGTCCAGAATTCTAAGCCAACGATTTTGAGAAATTTCGGCACCTAATCTTCGTAGACTCCGTCCTTAGTCTCTAACAAGTGATATCAGAGCTGATTAAGGACTTTGTGGAGAGTCTACTGAAGTGTGAAGACCCTCCTAGACCCACCATGGCCTATGGGCGTGCCTAAGTGGAGTTCTGGAGGTTGGATGTGACTTCCCATGGGAGAGGAGAAGATGCCCGAGGAAGGAGATGCCCGCGATCGGTGGATTGAGCAGAGCGCGGTGCTGTACGACTTGATTCTACAGCCGGTCAACAACGACATGTTCCAGCACATCAAGGATTTGGTGGAGCTCGATGACTCGGGACCGAAGGCGTGGAAGCTGCTACGCGACGTGGTTCAACCCAACACACTGCCGATGGTGATCGTATTGGAGAAGGAGCTGGCTGTCCTCTCCATGCGGCCGGGAGATGATGTGAAGCCGACCCTTGACAAGATCAATGACACCTATGCGAGGATGGCAGCGGCGGGCAGCAAGGTGTTGGAAATGCAGCAGTGCACCAAAATCATCTCGGTGCTCGACAACTCGTGGGACAACCTTATCCCCACCCTCAACGCTCAGCAGGACAAGTGGACGCCTGAGTGGCTACGGCAGCAG